TCAACCATCATCAATTTGCTCCCCTTCTTCTTCCATTCCTGCGGACTCTTTTTCTTCCTCGCGTCAACTGAAGTAGGTTGAGCACTTCCTAGAGTGGCCTCTAAATCTAAGGCTTTTCTAGACAAGGTCTCAAATGAGTGATACTCGAGGCGAGCCTCGCTGGCCAGCAAATTTCTTAGATTCTCTGGGAGACATCTCACAAACGTGGTTAGTAAGAACTGGTCATCGTAGTTTATGCCAGGAACGACGATGAGGCTCTCTACGGTAGTCGTAAGCTTTCTGACCGACTTGAACTTTCTTTGGTCTAGTTTGTGCGTCGTATCAGTGGCAATTTGTGCCTGCTGTGGATTGTGCCAACGAGCTTCTACCATTTCTAAGAACTGGTCTAACGTAATAGTCTTAGCCCAGTCCGCCATGCGTCGTCCGTACCCGGCCTTTGCGACTAAACCATCCAGCCATTTGGCTGCCTTACCCTCAAGGTAAGATGCGGCAGTAATCACCTCCTCCTCCTGCAAAGTCCTCTTCGCCTTTACCCATACTGGAACCGTTCTCAACCATTTGTTTAGTTCCTCGTCCTTCTTCTCTCCGGAGAAGGCAAGGGGCAGTTGAGGAACAGGTTGCGGTGATGGTGTAGCAACCACCACTGACCCAGAAGAAGAAGAAGCAACAGTCTGTGCGGCTGCTGGAGACGTACCACTTGGCTGTGTGCCAGCTTGTACCGGAAAGGGGCCTGACATCGCCGTTAACGGCAAAACAGCGACTGTGCTGCTGGCCTGAATCCTGGCCTTTGCAAAAGGTCCAAGATCTGGTCCAAAGAGTTTTGCATGAAATCCAATCTGCTGTCCACATGTGCATGCAGCGACAACATATTGTTCTTCAATATTTTCAGTTGGTCAGACATGGCTGACTCATCCAAACCCTCTAATGCGGCTTTGTCTGCCTCTAACGTATCAAGCCTGGCTGTTCTATTTTTAATCTCTCTTTCTCTGTCGGTAGCTTGCTTCAGTTCCCTCTCTAACCGCTCGCGGATCCTTTCGACCTGTTGGGGTCAACAGGCTTAACTGCGAGCCCGCCATTTGACTTGTGGACTGACCAGAACCTACTGATCCGGAAGTACCCGCGGGCCCTGAGGGCATTCCCAACAGGGTCCCTGACGAGGATGCAGCAGAGGCTGCGCCGTTAGCCATTGCTGCGGCTCTGGCTGCTGCTGCCTGATCTCTAGCTGCTATGTTTGCTGCTGCCCTCGCTGCTGCAAGAGCACGGGCTCTACGTTCGGCACGAAGCCGTGCTCCGTCTCCCGGTTGAAGGGTCTGGAACACGTGCGGGACCCTTAGTGATCTCGAACGTGTCAGTCTCGCATTGTCGACTCTACCCTCATCGGTGTCTGACCCGCTCATCAGTTAGGCAAACACTATCTGCACTACAACTCCCTGCTGGAATCCTACCACAGCATGTGTCTGACCGGCACCTAATCTTCTAAAAATAAATGTGTCCGGCAGGTCCCCTACTTGACCGATCAAGTGGTAGCCTACAACATTCACAAAAGATTGTCTACATAGTTTGGTCTTGCCATGATTAGTTCACTTACAGAAGTTTGCATAGAACTGGCTATGGTAGTATACAACAGTCCTACTACTAAACTGTCTGTGAGGTATTAGCAGTCCGTCAACCAACTAATCAAGAACAAAACCAGACTATGTTGCAGATGTATGAACAGTGGGTATAGTTGTATTCACAGTTGAGCATCAATTAGAACCTACCCTCCCCTCAATCCAACATACCGAAGAGCATCTTTGAGCAGCAGTGTCTTCGTGTGTATTGTCGGCCCACCCCTGTGCCCCAAGTCATTGCCGAGCAAGCCAGCCAGTCCACTCTTACTTACCCTCGTACGGAACGAGCCTTACACCCGGTTGATCTGGCTGATCAGGAGGAATTTTAGGAGAGCCCCCATCTCCTCAGGAATTATTTAACGTCCCAGTCAGGACGACGATCACAGCCAGATTCAATCCGAGTCCCCAACCAGAAATGTTTATAGACGGTCTGGTAAGCGTCTCATAAAAGGCTGGCACACCCGGCACGACTTCTATAGCGCAGCAAAGTGCCAAAATGGACAAGCAGCCATCGTATGCGTGACCTACTCCCATTGGGTTGGCATGGTGACCGTGACCCAGTGCTTCGACCAGGGCCCTTCAGAGGCACCGCCCTTTCTCCTTCCAGATGCTTGGGAAGATTGTCGTCTCTCAAGGTAGCGCGCACACGACACCTCACCAAAAGAGAGGACTCTCAAGTTGGACTCACTTCCTCGTGGTAAGAAGAGATTGAGAGAGTAGATAAGGTAAGGGAACAACGTACCTGGAGATAGCTGCCCCCAACCACAGATTTCTCACCAATTGAGCTGAGTGTGCATTTGATGACCGGTCGTAGCCTCGTTACCACCCACAACGCAATGCAGTGCCACCTCAGCTTAATGCCACATCAGCATGCTCTCATCACCAATCATACATTCCACTGTAACCACAGCAACCCATGCCGTATAGCCTTCCGGCGCACACCTCTCCACCCAGGTCGTGGGCCTAATGTTGGCCTGACGTCACAAGAACCAACTGCGAAGAAGCATCATCAACGCACCAAGTCTGTATAACGCCAGCGCACCAAGGTAAGTGGCGAATCAAACCAGCTCTGATACCAAAATACAAGGAACATGAATGTGGACGAAGCACAGAAATCCAGATTGCAAAATCACACTGAAGTCCAAGTAGTCAAAGCAAGAGAAGATAGCACAATGGAACCGAGTAACCATCCATTTGAGAACGATACAGAAGAATCGTGAGTCAATGTCCAAGCCCAATCGGGCAACACCAACAGCATAACCCAATGTAGCTCTCTCTCTTGAATGGCGCCAGGCGCCCTATCTACTCTACAGCCTATCACTACAACTACAGCAATGAAAGCAACCAGACAACTTGACGACCAGCGAGTGATGATGTCAACACCAATGCCGACCTCCTCTCCACCAGGTACGTCTCTCTCTTCTCCCTCACTCTCCCTTGTTATCCCACACAGCGCCCTTCACCTCCGAAGAACCACCTTCGCCTTTCACCTCCTCTGCACCCTTCAGGCAGCCCGGCTATGGCTGCCAGCGCCCTGCGCACAGGCAGCGCCCTACCGCTTAGCGCTAGCCTGTCTCCCTCAGCCGCAGCGCAAGTGCAGCGCTACAATGCAGCAGCGTGCCCGCAATGCCTGCATTGGCCAAGATCCCTGCCCACTCGCCCTCCTTGCCTATATGCCAGTGTTGTGTGTGGGCGGCCTCCCTTGAGCCTGCACCTGGGCCCCAGTACCTGTACCCAGGCCCAATGCGGTTGGGGCCCAGGAGATGCAGTTGCGCCTCTTTCATCAAGGCCTGCGGCCAGATTCAGATAGTGGACCGGTTTCCCATTGGCATTTTCGGCCTCTATATCCAGCATGCATTGTCGGCCTCACGTTTATGTGCCCAGGGCCTGACCAACTCTGGGGCCCTGGGATTTCTGCATTTGCAGAGCTCCGATACTCGGTGCACTCCAACCAACTGGCGTGCTGCAACTGTATGGACCCAAAATGTTTGCACAGAGGGCTCTTGTTGATTTGCTGGCCCGCCTTCACTTAGGGCGGGCACGAGGCTTGCTGGGGCCTTAGCCCAGAACATGTACATCATGGCAAGGCCCCTCCTTGAGGACTCAATCCTCACAATGGACTCAAAATTTCAGAAAACAATAACAAGATGTGGTCCCAATCAACCGCTTCTTGGCTGGAAGAACTTATAGCGATTTCGATGATGAGTTCTAAACATAGTGCTTTTCTTTCTT